CCTGCAAAGTAAGTGTTAAACCCCTTCTACCTTTCCTCTGGGTTTAAGCCAGGTGACTGCTTCCCTTCTGGCATGGATGTCCTGGAGAGCTTTGGCTTTCCAGGTGGGTAAGGAGCAGCATCAGCATCATTGGCTGGTCCAGATGGATGCGGCTCCCAGGGCTTGCTGTGACACCCCCTGATTCATCCCATCCTGCAGATTTGCCCCCAGGCACCCAAAGAGTTTGGCATTTGCAGAGCTGCTCCGTGCCAAGTGGTTTTAAGAGTCATGAGCCTCATCTGTGGCACTTGGGATCTCTGCTCCACCACAAAGTGCTGGGGAGGAGGGAGCTTGTGGCCCTCCAAAACCCAGCACATCCCTTGCCAAGGCTTTCTCTCTGCAGAGCTAAAATGGAAAGCTCCTTCCAGAGACCTGGACCAGGATCTGATCCTGCACCAAGTGCTGCTGCAGCTGGCCCTGGCGTATGTTCCCTTTGCTATTTTAATGCAGAACAGGGCACGTCTCCTCTAAACCCCCCCTCCAGGATGGGGCAAGGCTCAGCTCTGAATCCCGTTGGTCGAGTGGGATTTGCTGCATCTGCGCTCAGCAAGTGAGCAAAGGGAGAAGGGTGCTGAAGTACCCTGAGCGTGGAAGGACTTGGTGCTGTGCCATGGCACCGGGTGGGAGCCGGGTGCTGCGGGCGCCAGCCTGGCCCATGGAGGTGTCGGGTGCTGCAGCAGCTCGGGGCTGCGCTGCGCTGCCAGGCACCGCTCGGGTTGTGCCGTTTGGGGAAGCAAACTCTCGCTCCCCGCTTCTCCAAGCGGGTTTTGGCTTCCTCACCAGCTGGGGAGCAAAGCCCCAGCCCCATGGGCTCAACCAAGCGGGTGCCCGAGGGAACAGCTTGGGATGCGAATGGAGCCGAGCCCCGGCGCACGGCAGCACCGGTCCCCGTGGGAGGCTGCTGCACCTCCGGGTGCCAAGTCCTCCCTTCGGCTCCACCTGCCACCGCTTGGCACAGCCCGGCTTGGATCCGTGCTGGGTGATGCCAGCCTCGGCAGATGTTGCCTGCAGCCTCGGCAGGTGGAGCAGCCACGTGGACCTGGTTTCTCTCCTGCGGATCTGTTCCCTTTAGGGATGAGCCATCTCCCGAGCTGCTTTGACACCTCCGGGTGCTCGCTGGGGTTTAAAAAGAGGGTTTTTTATTACTGAAGAACTTATCAGCTATCAGTTGGCTGGGTTTAATGAGAAATTATGCTCCCTGGCCCTTCAGCTGTGAAATGCATTGAGTGCATTTAACTGTGTGGTGTCAAAAGGTCTCCAATGGGTATTTTATTTCCCTTTTCCTCTATCTGGCTTCTTCCCCGTTTCTGATAGTAGCAGACATGCATCTGGTATGGTGTGATCAGCAGCCTCTGAGATGGAAAAGACCTTTCTGGCCACCCAGCTCTAAGCTGCTCTGAGACCAGTGCATCCCTTGTGCAAGGGTGAGGGTCTTCTTCTCGCTTGTGACACCCTGAGGACTGAGATAAGGTCTGATATCAACAGCCTGACCCACAATCACAGTCCCCACCGCTGGATAGAGGCAGAGCTCGTGTCTTAATGGAGCCTTTTCTGGCCCAGTAATGGGCATTGTGGAGTGAGAAGGTGAAAGAGAGACCCTGATTTCCCATCAGGTCTGCACTGCCCAGCTCAGTGTCGTGCCAGGGTGGATGCTTTAATCAGAGGCTCCTTCTCTGTCCCCCTGATGCTTCAAATGCCTGGGGATAAGCAAGGAAAGGCTCTGTCTGTGAGGATGGGCAGACTGGCTGCTGCCGGAACAGCTCGAATCCTGCATCTCTTTCTCCCTAACCACCAAGGAATAGGGCATGTCCATTCCCACAGGGTGGACCTGGCCCCAGCAGCGCAGCACAGGGCAAGCAGTGACACTGAGCATGGAGCTGGGGCTCCCAACATAAGAGGGTTGTGGAGTGAGGCCAGAGGAGGCCATGGGGATGCTGCGAGGGCTGGAGCAGCTCTGCTCTGGAGCCAGGCTGAGAGAGCTGGGCTGGGGCAGCCTGGAGAAGAGAAGGCTCCTGAAGGGGAGACCTTAGAGCAGCTCCAGTGCCTAAAGGGGCTGCAGGAAACCTGGAGAGGGGCTTGGGACAAGGGATGTAGGGACAGGCCAAGGGGAATGGCTTGAACCTGCCCGAGGGGAGACTGAGCTGAGCTCTTAGGCAGAAGCTCTTCCCTGTGAGGGTGCTGAGGCGCTGGCATAGGGTGCCCAGAGATCTTAAGGTCCCTTCCAACCCAAACCAGTCTGAGAATCTATGATCTACTCCTGGTTAACTCCTCTTTGCCTCTCTGAGCATCCTTGGCTGCTGATGCAGGCGGTTCCTGCTCCTTCTCCAGCACTGGAACTCAGCATCGCTGCTCTGAGCAGCATCTCCTTGGTCAGTCCCCAGTATCTTGTAGTTTAAATGATGTACAATAGACCTACTGTGTGCAGCGTGTCAGGGCACCGCATGCATGAATATTGCTGTATAGACTGCGTGTGCTGAGCCCAGTTGTGAGCAGACACAAAGCTGTGCTCTGTGTCCCGGCTGTATTCCCACCCCATGACTGTCTTACTGTGCGGATTGAAGTGGTGCTGGGGCAGCGTGAGGCTTCATTGTGCTCGGGGCTGTACACTGGCATTGTGAGATGCAATCAGCTTTCTAAAGAGCTTACAGAGTAAATAGGAGGATGGAGATGGAGGAATTGGCTGATGGAGGGGAGAGGCCGGAGCTGGCACCAGTGGTTGAAGAGCAGGCACAGAGCAAGGCAATGGGCATCCTTCTCCCCTGCAGGCAGGTTTGGTGCTGATGCTGTCTGAAAGCAGCTCCTTGTGTAGCTGCTAAGAGCCATGTCTGGCATTGCAGGTGTAAATGGGGATGTCTCACCCTGGTGTGTGAGCTCCTGTGACCAGCCTCTCCCTTGGAATGGTGTTGCTGGCACACAGCTGGTCCCCAGTGAGGATGAGGTGTCACTGAGCAATGGGCTTTTCACATACAAGTGGCTCAGGTTTGCACTGCAGAGAAGTCAGAGCCGTGGAAGCCCCAGAAGGGGAAGATCTCCCTCTGACTTAAAAGCAATCATTTGCCTCTGTGATGGAGCAAGGCTGGGTGTAGGGAATGGTGCCTCTTCCATGGTGACAGCAGGACCATCCCTGTGGTGATGGTGCAGCAGGCGGTACTGGTGGGACCTGGGGGTGATGGAAGCATCCTGGGGTAGACCTGGGTCCTCGGTGCTGCCCTCATCCCATTGCAGCTCAGTTCCCTGTTGGAAATAAGGGATGTGTGGGGGTCTGCCCCGCAGGAGAGAGGGAACCATCCATGTGATGGATGTGAGACAGCAGCAGATCTGCAGGCGGGCCCTTCTGAGCAGCTTTTAACTGATAATAATGCCTATTTACACCTCATCGCCGAGCAATCAGAATTAAAAGGTCACCCCATCCTCTGGCCCTCTCCACAGCAGGAGTGAGGCAGGTTTCAGGGATCAGCAGGAAGGACAATTAATCCTGCTGGCAGTAATGGTGTTTGCTTTTCCCGTGTAGCATCCTCCCATCCCCAGACATTCTTTGTGCCCCAAACCTCCAGCTTCAGCTCTAGCATCCTCTGGTAGGGAGCACAGGGGAGATGCTGTGGGGCCTGGCATGCAGGAGGGCCTCAGACCTGCTCTTTGCACTTGGCTGTGTCTCCTTGCCTCTCCCCTCTGTTGCTTGTATTGACTCAAAGCTCTTTGGAGCAAGTCCTACCCCTTCCCCACGGTGTTGGCAGAGCAGAGCACAGCTGCTGTGCCAATACAAATAACACACAGGGTACAGATGATAGTCGTGATATCAGTGGGAAGGGAGAGATGCCCTTGGTCCCAAACTAAAGGAGGAAGGGGAATAGGCCCCCTCTATGTGGACGATGTGCAGGAGCCAGCTCCTCCTGAAGTGCTCAGCAAAGAGGAGCATGGTTCGGGGGGGTTGTCAATGCACTGAATGCCTGTGCCAGCTGTGACTCACATCTTAAGGCTGTTGGAGAGCCTGGAAGGGCTCCAGCCCTCCCAAGCTTCTCCCTTCTTGTTCTGCCACCAGTGCTCCTCCATGCGTGCCTCAGTTTCCCCATCTGTGAAATGGGGATAAACCCAACCTATGGGTCTTTGGTATGAGGGCTCTACAGCCCTTCCCAGCCAGGCCTGAGTGGGCTTGGGTGGTTGTAAGTCCATGAGAGAACCCTCAGGATGTTGGAATGAGCTGGATGGAGGCAGAAACACCGGGAATGGGGGGATGGAGGAAAACAGGGGGAGTTTGCAAAGCCACAATGCAAGTGTCCCCCTAAATGCACGTCCAGGTGGTTTTGGGGTGGTCTCAATGGCATCGCACCAGTGTTTGGGTGCCTCTTGAGTATAGGGGATCCTTGTCAGGATGCTGTGCTGGGGTGTCATGGCCTTGGGTTGGGGTAAGATTGAGTTTGGGGTACCTGTGGTGAGGGCAGCATCTTCCTTGTCGGAGAAGCAGGGAAACACCCACTGAAATGCAGGCACAGCAATGGTCTTCATTAACTTGGGTGAACCAAGAGGACCTGGCTTGTGCCTCCAGTATCCCTCAGGTCATCAGTGCCTGTTCATCACTCATTCAGGGTGAGTTCATCAACCCCAGCCAATGCCAGCCTGGAAATGGGCTCTGCTCTTACCCTGATGCCCTGTACATGTGCATCCTCCAGGGCGGATGTGGGAGCACGGGAAGGGCTCCTTGTGCCTATAGCCCATCACCACCCCTTGCTTTGGCAGGGCAGGGAGGGGACAGTGGCAGCGCTGGTGGCTGAGCACCAGCTCCTGGCTCCCAGCCCATGTGATGTGTTTGAGGGGGCACGTTGACATTTCCAGAAGAAGGGAAGGATAAAAAACACACCCGGAGACCTACAGGGAGCTCCGAGCCGCCCGAACCAGGAGAGCCCGGAGACACGGGCATCCGAAGGGGAATCGAAGCGGGCAGTGGTGGGGGGAAGAAGTTGCTGGGATAGGGAAAGGATGTGAGGCAAAGTGCTGGCTGGGAGCCGGGAGGATGCAATGGCGGCTGGCAGAGGAGCTGTGGCACTGACTGCGAGCCATGGAGACAGCCCTGCCGCGCACCCCTCGCTAGCTTGGGGACAGCAGTGGGCACTGACGGGTACCAGGAGCCCGGTGGCAGCAGTGCACCAGCTCCGGAGCTCCTCCAGGCACCCAGCGCTGCTCCGGCTCCGCTTCCCGGTGCGGGGGATCCGGCTCTGGATGTGAGGGATCGGTGTCCGCAAGGGTTCAGCGCCGCCGGTCGCTGCGTGCGGCTTTCCTCGGGGTCAGCGCCGTGTGATAAGGTCGGTACCACCCCAGCTCGCTGCATACGTGTTTAATAACGATCCGATCCTGTATTTCATTAACACAAGCGGCTCCATCCGTCTCCTTAGATTTAACTTGACGTGTTGCTTTAAATGCCAAGCGATCAGGAAAAGCATCTTTCCCTCGGTTTAAACATATGCGATGAGATGCGTGTGTTTGTCACACAGATTTCGGAGCCCTGCTCCGAGCCGTCTCCTGGTTCCTCTCGGCTGCCTGGGTACCACCATGCTTCCTCGCTGGGCAAAGCATCCCTTTGGAGCTTCCCCTAGAGCCGTGCCGAGGCTGCGGGAGCAGGAGAGACCCGCCGAGCCCGGGGACTACAGGCTGACTCCGTTGCTCGTGGGTATGGACCAGGGGGGGCGACGTGATGGGGATGCAGGCACCAGGTGATGCTGGTCCCTCGGGGATGGTCCCAGCACCATGAAGGTGGGCTCTGTCCCCTGGGAGGTGATGGTGTGGGGCTGGGTCGGATGCTCATTGGGGTTGGGAGGAGGCAGCAGGGCTGCAGGCAGATGCTGCTGCCCTCCTTTTGCTTGACTAAACCTCGCTGCCTGGACAGCTTCTGACTGGTGCTGGTGGAAGGGCTGGGGCTCTTCCTGTGATGTGCCTTGGTGTGGGTTAAGAACTGCAAGAGAGAACAAGAGGGTTTGCTCAGTGCCAGCAGGAGGGATGGAATCTGCCTCTGGGGACGGTGCACCTCATCCTAGTGTCCCCTACAGCATCCCACTCCGAGGTGGGATGTACTGGGGAATGCAGTGCCAGCCAGGCACTGTAGGGACTGTGCGCCTCAGTGTCCTCATGCCCTGTAGAGAGGGGATGACGTGTCCCAGCAGCATCCCCATGCCATGTGCACGCAGGGTCTCTCATCAGGCTGTCAGTGAAGCATTGTCGCATCTCACTCCATGATTTCGGATTGGGAGAGGCTTTGGATGTGGGTCTGAGCAGGTTGTTTTCAGCATTCCTGATTTTTAAGTAGCTGTGACTAACCATGCTGGCACAGCGGGCTGTGGCCACCCGCCTACATGCTACCTGGGCGCTTATAAATAGGGTCTGTTCTCCACACCCCATCAGGAGCCTTCCTGAGCCCCGCCATAACACCAAACCAGCTTCTTCCAGCCTCTCCCCCGCAGCCACCAGGGCTGGCATCACCCCATCTCCTGGCAGGAATCACTCCAAAAGGCAGCTCCCCCATAATTCCAGCTTGGAGGCTGCGGGAGCAGCACTCGGTGCTGTGGCTGGACCTGCTGAGCTCCAGGCTGTGCATCCAAGCACATCACGATGGCAACAGGAGCCAAGTCTTCGGAAGAGTTGGGTCTTCCAGTGCCAAGGCAGAGATGGGCCAAGTGTTGTGCCGGGCTGAGCAGCCAGTGGTCCCCAGTGTGCCAAGCTGGGAAAAAATCCCCCTCCTGGGCGCTTTCTCATGGAGCTGAGCTCTGTGGTGACTCCAGGGGCTGGAAAAGCCATGGGTTTGGCTTGGATTCTTCCCTTAGGGATGATGGGGGGGGGTGGTTCCCCCTCTCAGCCCTGCCGTGCTCTGTCAGATGAATTAGCTCCTGATACGGTGCAGCGCGTTGAAGCTCCTGTCAGCAGCTCCCTCGGTCAGCATCGCTGCGCTGATGGCAAGAGATGAGAGGTGCTGCTGAGCTGGCTTAGAGAATCGCACCCAGTGCACTTGGCACAAGGGGCAGGAGCATCACCCCTGCACCATTTCCCTGCATGGGACGTGTCTCCCATCCTTTAACCTTCCCCTCCATCCGCTTGTTGCATTTTATCTCTGCCTTCGATCTCAGGCTCTCCGAGGTGAAAGCTTTGCTTTGTTCCCAAGCTGGAGCATCCCTTGAGCAGCAAACGGCCTCCTTGTGCCTGGCTCTTGGCTATAACCTCACAGCTGCCTGTGGCCATGGGTCAGGCTGGAGGCTCCTGCTGCCTGACCACGCTGCCCGTTCCCGTTTCTCCCGTCATGGAAGCGGTTGTGGCAGCCTTGCTCTGTTTAGTGACTCCCCTCAGTGTCTCATTAGAGAGAACAATGGTCCTGTCAGGAACATCAGGATCGTGATGTGTGTTCCCTCCTCCTCTCTACCAGCACCTCCTCACCCCCTGCAGGCTCCACAACCTCCCCATGCCTCGGCACTCCTGCTCTGCTTGCAGAGATGAGAATAAGAAATGAATCCAAAGCTCTGACTGTGAGCTCAGATGATGCCCTGCCTCCAACCCTCCATCCCTCCATCCCTCCATCCCTCCATCCCTCCATCCCTCCATCCCTCCATCCCTCCATCCCTCCATCCATCCCTCCATCCATCCCTCCATCCCTCTCTCCATCCCTCCATCCATCCCTGGAGCTGCACCACACGCAGACATGCATCTTCCCTGCCCTCTGCCACACCAAGAGTTGGTTTTGGGGCCATTTTCTTCCAGCTGGACCCAACTTCTGCTTGTAGAGGAAACCCTCATCCCTCCCCCTCTCCCACTCCCTCCCTCTGCTCTGGGCTAAGAGGAACCATCGATTTGGTGTCTTGAAGTGATGGGAATTGATTTCCAGAGCCATTTGTCTGAGCAGCTCCAGGCGGGAGCACCCAGGACCCGTGCTGTGACTTGGCTTTGCAGGAGTGTGATGGGTACAGCTGTGCCTCTGGGGCTATTCCTGAGCTGTGGCTCTGTGCCTCGGTTTCCCCCTCCTATCTGGCTCCAAAGGGGATCCCCAGGCTCAGATCTGGCTGCTTCCATCCCAGCTGCCAGGCTGTGCTTCCTCAAATCACTGCTGCCTGTACGTAGAGCACACCACAATGTGGCTTGTGTTTGTGCTGGGAAGAGCCCAGCCCCTTCCAGCCTCTCCTTTATTTGTGCCCTGCATCCCCAAGCTGTTGGCATGGCCCCAGCCATCCCCACCAAGGGCACATGGGCTCCTTTCTCCTCCCGTTCCCAGCAGGGATGCTCTCTATGCACAGAGGATGCTGCTGCCTTCAGCCTCCTGCCAGCAGTCAGAGAGGAAGCTGATGGCAGGGCAAAAATCTGCCCTTTGCCATCCTCCCTGTGCCCTCTGCCCCTCTTATTTGCCCTTGCCCAAGCATGGGAAGCTCCTTGGGGATTGATGCTTCCCATTACTGGAGTCTCCAGGTGTGCAAGGACATTTAGGGTGAAACTTCCACTTGGATGCTGTTCTTACTGCATGGTGATGGGGATGTTCCTGTCCATTGGCTGCCTTCAGAGCATCCCCTGATGCTGTTTACCAGGCCCACAACACAGGTCAGGTCACATCTGTGCTTGGTGCTGTCACCTCTGGTCACTGAGGCACTCGGGTGAGGGTAGGGATGGTTCCCAGCTTGGACCTGGCAGGAGATCCCAGGGAGATGCTGAGTCAAGGAGACAGGGTGAGGAAAAGGAAGGACTGGGGTTGGTTGATGCTTTTCAGCTGTGGTAGTGGGATGCTCGTTCTGTGTGCAGGCAGGGACACCACAACAGGAGCTGCAGGATGAAGTGGACAAGGCTGGAGGAGCTTCTTGGGTACCAGGTCCCCCGTTTGCAGATGGCAGCACGGGGACCAGCCTGGCTCATGTGCCTCATGTCAAAGGATGTGGGGATAGGGCTCTGATCCTGAGCACAAAGTGAGCAGTCGGGTGTGCTGGTCCTGCTCTTGGCACTGCTGTCCATGGGATCTAGGAAGTGAACTCCTCTCCTGTTTCCATGTGCATGTGTGGGTGTCATAACACCCGGCGAGGTGGGAAGTAGCTGCTGCTTTTCACAGGGCTGGCCAGATGGGATTTCTCCTTCGGTTTGGGATTTGACAATGACATGGGAATTTATCCGGTCTTTTCTCTGCTTCCAAAGTTAAAGGAGCTGCTTGTCAGGGCAGTGAGGTGGAGATCTGCCAGCTGCATCATCCCATGCTCCAACTGGGAAGCATCCAGGGGGGACCAACATTGCTTTGGATGGGCTCCTTGTCAGCAGCATCAGTCGGGCTGGCACTGGTGGGGTGCAGGCAGGGTGCAGGCAACATCCAGGGCACGTAGAGGCTGGGGATAGGCAGGGTCGCATCCGGACTGGCACCGTGTCCTGGCTGTGGTGCCGGTGGGATCAGCATGGCCCTGGCTGGGAAGTTCCCAATGAAATGGTCAGCGGGTGGTGCTTTATTTTCCCTTGGTTCCACTTGAATTTGGGAGTGAAAAGCACGGCAGGGAGCTGCTGAGCCCAGGCTAAGCTGGGATAGATCCTTTGGGATGGGGAGAGGAGATGGGAGAGCCACAGCCCCCATCTCCCAGGGCATGGGCATGGGGAGCTTTGTCCTGGGATGGATGTTAATGGTCCCTCATGGGTGGCTTTGGCGTTGCCTGGCTTTTCCCAGGCAGTTCGGTGCTGGGTCTCCATCATCCCGGGAGCAAGAGGAAGGAAGGGATGCTTCGGCTTTCACTCCTTGTATTGCTCACCTGGCGCTGAGTGAGGGATGAGGAGAGTGTGCAGATGCCTTCACTTCAACACCCATGTGCTCGGATGAGCCCTGGGTCTGTCCCACACCTGCCATTCCCATGGGATAAGGGCATCCATAGCCCATAGGCTCAGCTCAAACCAGGGATGTATTCCTCTGCAGATTGATTTTAAACGAGACCTGGCTCTGTAAAGCCCTGGTGATGGCTGGGTCCATTTGGCTCAGGGTGATGCTGTGGGGGGGATGACACACACACTCGTGTACCCCTTGGTGTGTCACTGCCTCATTGCTGCTCCTGGGCACAGCTTCCAAAGCAGAACACCAACACATGTGCAGCTGCAGTGCTTTTGGGCTGTGTTTGCTGGTCCCATTGTCGGGGTGAGATGGGAGCTATGGGCAGACCCCCCAGGGCACTTGGGCATCCTGAAATGAGTGCAAACAGAGCTTGGCTGTGCCAGCATCAGGGATGCCCTGGGCAGCAAACGCTTCTGAAGGTCCTTTTACCCCATCAGGTCCTAGCTTAGGTAAAGGTGTTCATTTCTGGGGTGCCCACCGCATTCGGCTGTGCGGCACAACAGCGGTTAAGTGTATCCAGAGCCATGGATGCACTTCCCAGTTGTGGCTCCGGGGCCTCTCAGCAGCACGGCAGGGAAGGGGTTAGTGCTGAGCAGAGCTCTGGGTGCTGGGCAGCCTCCGTGGGTGCTGTGCAGGCAGTGGGCTGGCAGTGCAGCAGCCGCAGCCTCTGGGAGGAAGGCGAGAGCATCCCAGAGCATCGCAGAGCTCTTCCCTCTGCCTTAATGGCCGGGTGCGGGAGAACCGCATCGCTCCGGGGGGCTTCTATTCTTTCACTTCTCTTTCTCTCGGAGCGGGCTCTCTCCTTCCCCTCGCCTCATCCCCTTCTGTACAATCGCTTTCTCGGGCTGCGTTTCATGCTCCGGTAACCGCCGCTGCTTTCACGACCCGTGTGAGCTTCGTTGCCTCATGAAGATTTATGCAACTGCAGTAATAAACTGTGTTTGAAAGATCCTCTTCGTGATAAAGCCCTGCCAAGCTGCTGGGGCAGAAGGGGGGGGGATCAGAGAGGACCGTGCCGCCGACCCTGCCGTTGTTTTTGCTCCTGTGGGGCAGCACCCGCAGGGCTTTAGGGATCTTTCCCATCCTCATCTCCCTTTGAGGGAGCAGGGCGCTGGTGGAGAGCAGCTACAAGAGCATTACCCGGGATGGAGGCGGTGGCCGCATCCTGCTAGGAGCCGGGGCTGTGGTCCCGGGACGGGTGACCCCTCTGCTGGCAGGTAAAGGGAGATGGATGAATGAATGAATCGGCAAAGGGAACCGCGCTCCCTCAACCTCCGGTTGCTCGGAGAGGGACTTGCCAGGATTTACCGTGGGATTTTGGTTGCGCTGGGAGCCCTGCGCCCGGCCAAGGAATCGCCTCCAGCCCCTGGAGCCTCGGGGGCTGCCTCCGCCGGGCCACCGAAGCAGTTTTCCGGTCGCCATGGAAGCTGTCCTGCTCCCGTGGGTAAGCGATGGGGTGGTTCGTATGCTGGGGACACCCCGCTTGGATGGGCTGGGGCAGGGATGAAAGGGGGGACCCTGGGCAGGCTTCGGCCACCGGCTCTCCCATTCTGTTGACCTACTTGGCAGCAGCCCCTGGAAGCACTTTGCAGGGATCTGCTGCTGCTGGCAGCGGGGCAGCCTGTGTGCGGGTACCACTGCTCCAGCATCCTTCATGGGATGGGCAGCCTTTGTGCGGGTACCACTGCTCCAGCATCCTTCATGGGATGGGCAGCCTGTGTGCAGGTACCACTGCTCCAGCATCCTTCATGGGATGGGCAGCCTTTGTGCGGGTACCACTGCTCCAGCATCCTTCATGGGATGGGCAGCCTGTGTGCGGGTACCACTGCTCCAGCATCCTGCATGGGATGGGCAGCCTGTGTGCGGGTACCACTGCTCCAGCATCCTGCATGGGATGGGCAGCCTGTGTGCAGGTACCACTGCTCCAGCATCCGTGCATGGGATCTGCATAGGGGGAAGAGAGACAGCTTGGTGAGAGGATTTGTTCCTGTCCATGGGAGGAGATTGGAACCGGATGATCTTATGGTCCTTTCCAACCCTAACTATTCTATGATTCTATTCTATACTTTTGGGGGGCAGGATGCAATTATCCCCTTGAGGTGAAGCCAGGAGGGATGGAACCAGATGATCTTTAAGATCCCTTCCAACCCAAACCATTCTATGACCAATGTCCTTTTCCCATGCACAGTGCCAGGGAAGCACAACCCTGTGAGGTTTAAAGTCCCTTTCCAAAGGAGCCCCTATATCCCAGTTGTTGGCTGTTATCAAATTGCCTCCTCTCACTCCAGGCTGGGATACCCGAAAGGGGAAAAAGTGGCCAACATGGGGACAGGTACACGTGTGTCTGTGGTGGCTTTTCCTCTTCTCAACTTAGTGGGGTTTATGGACCATGGGCTGCCTGATGAGGGATGTGGGAGCGGATGCAGCACAGCCGGGAGGGGAAGAACCCCCAGTGGCTTCCAGCTTTGCTCTGACCCCGGTGCAGATTGTGCAGGGCTTTTTGAATCGCCCTTTTTAGCAGTCAGCAGAGGCAGAGAGCTGGCGTGTTCCACTCTTGGAGCATGTAATTAGGGAGCAGGGATCTGCATGCTGATGCATGGGTTGGCATCGGGAGCAGGAGGAGAAGGAGCTGGGAATGTGGCCTCAGCCCAAGGATGCTACACTCAGGGCTGGGGAGGTGGCTGCAGGGAGCCAGTGTTCAAGGCCAGGTTGGATGGGGCTTGGAGCAAGCTGCTCCAGTGGAAGGTGTCCCTGCCCATGGCAGGGGTTGGGACTGGGTGAGCTTTAAGGTTCCTTTCGACCTAAATCAGCCTGGGATTCCATGATCTCGGGGTGCTTTGCACGGGGCAGACATGCCACCACGATGTGGTGATGCAGGGACCTGAGCAAAGTGATGAGGGAATGGGAGCTTTAGCTCTGGCTCAGATTCCACCTCCTGGGTAAGGGGGCGATGGTCCCCTGGCTGAGGTCCCATTTGGTGATGGAGCTGTGGGGGACGGGAGCTGGACCGGTTGTGTTTTAGAGGAGGAAAGGGATGTTCAAGCTTTGCCAAGGGTAAGGATGTCCCCATGGCATTGCTGGGAGCGTGATGTCCCTGCCTGGCTCGTAGCAAACCCCGCTGTATGACCTTGAGCAGAGGAGTTATGTCTGTAGCACACACTGGAGTCCTGTCCTACATTAAAAACACAATCAGTTGATATAAAGCTAATACGTGGTGCTGATAAATAATTAAGGGAAAAGGAAAAGTCCCCTTATGATTTGCTTAACAGGGACTTGGGAATGAAGGTGGGGGAGTGGGAGAAGGACAAGGAGAGAGATGAATAATGCATCAAGGTTAAATGGTGAGTGAAAAAGGAAAGCTGTAACGTGGTGAATCCCTGCAGTACGCTTGCTGCGGGTTGCCAAACTAGTTAGAAGCGGCAAAGGCAGCGTTGGGCATGGTGGCAACAGCCAGGACCAGCCCAGGGCTGTGTGGCACAGGCTCCAATGCCATCAGACATGATGGCATCGGTCTGGGCAAGGGGCTATGGGCTGTGGGGTGGCCCCATCCTGCAGCCAGGCAGGAGGTGCCAGGCGCTGGCAGCGTGCAGGGACTTCCAGGCATCCATCAGCGCTGGCACTGGGCACAACTTCCCAGGAAACCCACAACGTGCAGCTCATGGATTATTAGCAAAGGGATGAGTCCCTTTCCCTGTGCTGCCTGCACCCTGCCTGCACTGCTCTGCTGCTCGGGATGGGGTGAGCTGTCTGAGCGGCGTGGGATGGGATGGGATGGAGCAGAGGGTCCTGTGATGCTGCTGAGTTTGGTACCCATGGGTGCTGCGAGCAGCGGATGCAGGATGGGGTCTGATGCTATGGGGGGGGGCTCTAGCAGGACCTGGCAGGTAGGACATGGGGATCCTGCATGCTCTCATGGGCATCAGCACAGTGCAGGATGGGCAGACACCAGCATCCCCTCACTATGGCCCACCTTTCATTTTCTTTTTGGTTTGTCCATGTGTCCATGTCCCCCCCCGTCTGTCTGTGCTCTGGAGCAGTGCCTGGCTCCTGTGTCTTGTCTGTGCTGTTTCAATGACCCAGCACTGTTTTAGCCATGATTTGGTCTGACCATCGTGGTCTCGGTGGCATCCCAGCCCCTCCATCCCTCCTGCTCCCCCCCTGCCCCATCCATCTCCTGCCACCACCAGCCCCGTGCCCGCTGCCATCGCAGGGGCATAAACCCTGCACCCACCAACCCATCCCACTGAGGGATGCTCCCGCTCCCATCCAGGCTCTGCTCACCTCTAGCTTAAACCCCTCTCCCCATCCCCAAACCTCAGCACCCCACCTTTGCCCCATAGCAGTGGGGCCGGTCCTGACCCCGCTCTGCTCTCCCCCCTCCCTGTGCAGATCCCGAGAGGACGAGCACCCACATGATCTCGGCGGACGATGCCGAGTACCCGCGGGAATACCGGACCCTGGGCAACGGCACCCGGCGCTTCTCCAATGTAGGGCTGGTGCACACCTCGGAGCGCCGGCACACCGTCATCGCTGCCCAGAGCCTGGAGGCCCTCACCGGCCTCCAGAAGTCGGAGATGGAGCGCAAGAGGGATGCATTCATGGACCACCTGAAGAACAAGTACCCACAGCATGCACTGGCGCTCCGGGGGCAGCAGGAACGTATGCGGGACCAGGTACAGGGCGTCTTCTTGGGGGTGGAGGGGATGGGGACCACATCTCACCCTTTGGGGGTGGTTGGAGGAGAAGAGGCTCAATGGGGGCTTGGATGGTGCATGAAATGGGTGGCTGCTTGCAGTAGCCTGAAGGGGAGCATCCCCCGGGTGTGAGGAAGAGCACCCTCTATCCCTGGGGAGAAGCATCCTCCAGCCCTTTGGAGGAGCATCCCTCAGCCCTACTGGGGAGCACCTCCATCCTTCCCCAGGGCTGGAGGGCTCCCAGGCAGATTCATCCAGCCATTCAAGTGGATTCAATCCCACTGCTGTCAGCAGTAGTGGGGAGGAGAGGGATGTTTCTCCATGCAGAGGGGTGGGGGTGATGGCTGCAGACCCCAAACTCACCCAGAAAGGGGCAGCTGGACCCATGGGCTGGTGTTTGCAAACGCTGCTGCATGCCTGGCTCTCCTCTGTGCTATGAACCCCCCAAAATTGAAGATACTGGTGTAAAACCATGATGCGAGCAGCACAAGAGACAGGATGGATGCTTTCTGAGCTGGGGGGGTGGTCAGTGCAGCTCTGGGGGCAGATATCTCCCCCCGGCTGCCCCACAAGGTGCTGGGGGGCTGGTGAGCTCAGGAGATGCTATGGGGCAGGATGAGGTAGTGAGGAGCTGTTGCTCTACCTCAACATGTGCTGCTGTGCAGTGTGGGATGGGGATGGGTGATGCGTGCCAGGATTTGGCAACCACATCCTTTGGTTACCGGTTCCCCATGGAGTCAATCCCACCCCAAGGACCTGCTGGTCTTTTGAGCAGGACGTGTCTGGGCACCCCTGCTGAGAGTAGCAGAGCCCAAGGGTTGAGTGGTCCCCATGGCTGGGGGTGCACCCCTGGTGAGCCCATCCTGGTCTGGGTACCAGTGATGCGCCAGTGATGCTGTTGGGGCAGTGATAAATCCCCACCTAAACTGGCGCTTCTATAAGGATGCACAGGGGAGGGTGAGCACGGAGCTGCTGGAGGAAGTGCCTGGAAAGAAAACCCTTATATCATCTCCAACTAGATACCTCCCGGTGGGATGCAGGCGCCGAATCCCACAAAGAATCCAGCTTTGTAAGGAAAAGCTGGGCTTGCCGAGGCATCGGCATCGCTGTCTCCTCTGTGTTGGGGTGCACTGGGGGGGTCCTCATCCTGCAGCCCTCTCCTTGCCAAAAAGAGATCCACAGCAGCGCAGCATCCCCGTTTTGGTGAAGGGCTGTTGGCTGGTGGTGGCTTGGCCAAGATGGAGAGGTGACATTTCCAACCAGAGTGACATTTCTCAGTAAATAACCAGAAATCTTTCCCCTGTTATTGCAATGATTCAAAGGCTGGTTTGTGTGGTTTTTAATATCGGCGGCTACAAAGAGAAAACCCAGCTCCTGTTGACTCCGGGTCTGAGCTTTGTGGGGTTTTATCAAGTGAAAGGAAAACGATTTGGATTCTGGAATGATCTTGTATCCCTGGAGCCCCTTGCTCAGGGCTGTGGGTTCAGGTTGGCTCCGTTCCCCCTGCCCTGGGCATGATGCTAAGGGCTCAACTCCATCCATCAACCCAGCCACGAGCATCACCTCTTTGCAACCGGTGGGGAAAGAAAACACCCAAATCCCATTCTTCTTCTCTATTTTTTTGTTTCCTTTCCTTTTTCCCCTTATTTTCCCTGCGGGTGGTAAATAATAACAGGGAGAAAAATGCAACTAGAAAACACTGGAAACCTCAGGGGCCAACCTTTAAATGACATTGGGATGCAACACTCTGGGCCTTCCTATACCGTTTGAAGCTTGCTTTGCTATTCTAAGGGAGCCTGGCAGGTATTTCCATCCAGGCTTTGCTATTTTGTTGGGGTTTTATGTGTAATTTCAAATGCGTTTGCCAAATCAGAGGTGAAGAGAAGCGTTTCATGAATGTCAACATCCCTTTCAGCACAGCAAAGCCTGCAGCAAAACGCCATCGTTCCCGTGCTGAGGCACTGGGAAGGGAAAGCAATATTAATTTGAATCGTATGTATATATAACAGAGCAAAGGGGGAAAGAAACACAGGGAAATCATTGTACCAACACCCAACAGACTGCTAGCAAAGCTGCGGAGAAGTCCAAAGAGGCAGCGAGCTTATTTAAAACCCAGATGGGGAGAAGGCGTTAAATGGGAACGTTAACAATAAAGAGGGGAATGGGAATTGGGATGAGGTGGCGGATGGAGCATGTTGGCTCCTGGGCTTTGAGGCTGCTTTGGGGGGGAATCCTACCCTGGAAAGGGGAAATCTAGAAGGAGAGGGATGGCATGGCTGGGATTCTTATCAGTGTGCTCTGGGATGCACGGTTTGGATGGGGCCACCCTGTGGTACCCAATGCTGAATACACATATACCTATATATCTATGTACCTGTCTACCTATATACCCATATACCTATATTTATATCCCATATACCTATATATCTATATACCTATGTATCTATCCCATATACTTATATATCTATATACCTATGTATCTATATACCTATGTATCTATCCCATATACCTATATATCTATATGCCCATGTCTCATATATATCTATATGCCCATGTCTCATATATATCTATATATCTATATGCCCGTGCCATGCCTCTCCCATATACCTATATGTCTGTATACCCATATACCTATATATCCATCCCATATACCAATATATCTATATACCCATATACCTATATATCCATCTCATATACCTATATATCTATATACCCATATACCTGTATATCCATCCCATATACCTATATATCTATATACCCATATACCTGTATATCCATCCCATATACCTATATATCTATATACCCATATACCTATATATCCATCCCATATACCTATATATCTATATACCCATATACCTATATATCCATCCCATATACCTATATACCTATATACCCATATACCTATATACTTATACACCTAGGCATCTATATACCTATATCTCTATCTCATTATGTTTATATATATATATATACACACAAAGTTAATAGCACCTAAAAAAATAATTAGATGATGGTTCAAAGGGGTAACCCCATCACCCCTCCCTGCTTCCTACTAATGCCCACATTCCTGTTGGATGTGCATTTGGGATGGGGCTCTGAGGGTATGTACCAACCAGGACAACATGGTTTTAATGCAGATAAGTGATAAATCCCAGAAAAGAAGGGATTACACCCCCTCCTTTGCCTGTAAGCAGGTAAAACATCATTCAGCCCTGTCTGCTCGGGTGCCCTGCAGCTCCTAAGCTGCAGTGTGGGTTTAAATACTGCAGCGGAGCTGGAGCAGAAACGTGCCTCATTCAGGGCTACAGGAAAGTACATAAAAGCTCGGATTTTAGCTTGTCCAGCTCTGCTGCAGGAACAAAATAATAGGGAAAGGCTGGAGCCGAGTGGGAACGTGTTGGTGGCTGCCTGACAGCAGCAGATCTGCAGCTGCACAGAACAAATCCGACTTTGGAATCAATAAATACCAACCAGTGCAGATGGATGTGACCACAGAGCCAGGCCCTTGCTCTGTCCTGCGTCACCAGCACAGGCAGGGATGCGATGGGGATGCAGGCAGGGATGCAATGGGGATGCAGGCAGGATGCAGTGGGGATGTAGGTAGGGTGCAACAGGCTACGGAGATGCTGCTTTGCTGCAGGTGGCTCCGTGCCTCAGTTTCCCTGCTTGAAGCATGTGTCTTGGCTGCTTCCCCGCTCCATAGGAAGGGAGAACTTGCAGAGAACTCAGGGTCCCAGGACCCTGGGGGATCGATGAGGCTGTGCCAGTCACATTCAGGCACCCTGTGTTACAGCAGTGGTTTATGGGGTGTGTGAATGGATGTATGCACCATGCTGCCCGTACCCAGGCCTCCAGCACCTACCCCTGCCCATTGCACTCCCAATTCCCTCCAGCACTTACCTTTGCCCATTGCACTCCATTACACCCCAGCAGCCATCCCTGTCCCATTGCACCCCACCGCACCACCAGCCTCGTTGCATCCCCTGCACCCGAGCACTCACCCTTGCCCCATTGCACCCCATTACACCCCATCACCCTCCCTTGCCCCAATGCATCCCTATTGTACCCCATCGCGCCCCATTGTACCCCATTACAACCCCCATTACACCCCATCACCCGCCCCTGCCCCAATGCATCCCTATTGTACCCCATCGAGCCCCATTGCACCCCCCCATTACACCCCATCACCCTGCCCCGCCCCTTTGCCCCCTGGCCCCGCCCCCTCCGGGAGCGCGCTCCCCCTCCCGGCGGCCCGGCGCTGCTGCAGGGGGCGGCAGGTGGAGTCGCGGTTGCCATGGTGACCGCGCCCCCTATCAGGGCGGGCGCGCGGGGCCGGCTGCGGCCGCAGCGGCGGGAGGTGGTGACTCCGCTCGGCACCGCCCGCCCTCTCTTCACCCCCCCCGCCCTTCTCCGCGGCCCGCGCTGCCGATGTGATCCGAACGGAGCCGACCTGATCCGAGCGGAGCCGATCGGAGCCGAGCGGGGCCGAGCGCGCCCCGCCGGCGCTGCGGATCTCACCTGCCGCAGGTACCGGGGCCGGCGGGGCGGGCGCGGCGCATCCCTCCGGTGTCGTGGTCCCCTCCTGCATCCCGGGGTCCGCTTCCCCCCGCCCTCCCCTTGCCCAGATACCCTGGGGTCGCTCCCACCCATCCCAGCACCCCCTTCCCAAACGTCCCCTTCCGTCTGCCCCGACATCCCGGTGTTCCCCTCTCCCATTCCCATCACCAACCGGTGCTCTCGATCATGCCCTTCCCTTGGCCGCGGCGCTCATTCCCCCCTGTTTTTCCAGCCCCCCCATTCCCCCAGTTCACCCCATTTCCCCTTCGCGGGGTTCCCCCCACGTTCAAGTCCGCAGCATGGAGCTGGTGGCAGTCTGTGGGTTTCATCGCCCCTGCATTACCCTTCGGTGCAGCAGCTGGTGGGGGGGGGCTCACCCTGCTCCTCCCGGTGCACGTGGAGCCATGCAAAGCCCCCCGCGG